AGGAAGTAGAGTAAATGGGACTACACTCTATTGTGGAAAGTCAGAATGTGTCCAAAAAGGCACGTATGGCAGACGGAGCACGAGAGTAGAAAAAATGCTGTAGAAATGCGGTCATTAAGGACTATATCAGGGCTGAATCCGAATGAGAGGGTAAGAAATTGTGTGATAAGAGAAGAATGTAGTTGTGACCAGGAATAAGAAAGGAATACTTGGGTGGTTTGGTCATGTAGAAAGAATGAATGAGGAAAGAGTAACAAAGCAAATTTATGTTGCAAAAGTGAACAGCAGGGTCGGGAAGGGACGCCCTAGGCGAAAGTTTATCGATCACATTGGTGATATATTGAAAATGGGCCAAATTAAGAGTACCCTCAAACGATGAGCATGTATGCGTAAGTATATGGATGCTAAGGAGGCGAGAGAGGTGTGTCAGAATCATGTCAAATAGAAGTCCGTAGTCTTTGCCTACCCCTCTAGGCGACAGGCGTGAGTGTTTATGTATGTGTTTATTTAGTTTATGCATTTGTCAGAATCTATATAGGAACTTCTTGGATTATCATTATAGGATACGGGAGATATATTATATAAATAATAAAAAACATGTAGAAGAACATTTTTTATTTAGAATAACGGTGGCAAACGAGCACACAGTCTACGTGATAGTAAGTGGATGCTGTGGCATCTACATTTATGTTCAATTAAGAATCAAAATGCAGATGCGTTGTCAACCCTGAGGACTAGGATGGAATGCCTTGTTTCCAGTAAAAAGGGTCTCCGGTTCTCTTCACTCACGTGGACCTCTTACCCCGATCGAATCGACCAATTCGTGCTACAACTATAATACAACTGCAGCGTGGCTCTACCACGTAAAAATGCCTCTGGGACAGTAATTGTAACGTCTGTAAACCGTTTAGACCGAAACTCAGCAGTACACAAACACCGCTATTTATCGGCAAAATAGGTAAGAGACGGACTCTTAGGCAGTAAAGAGGTGTTACCACCAGTATACTAGGATATATATCCTATACTCGTGTAGGATGGCCACCTTTTTTTAAGTACGATTAGTTATAATACAGTTTTGGTTTTTATCCTAGCATTTATCGGATTTGGTTTCACTTTTTAAACTACGTATGCTTATTGAAGATGATGATATCAATATTAGGCCCTTAAGCATAAAATTACCGATATCTAATGATTTCTTATATTTACGCGGACACTACACATTTAAATAAAAATAATTTTACGGATTTTATCGCGTATATTAACTTATTTTATATTCCCGATGTTTCGAGCACTTTCCAGCACCCATGGTCACGGGGGGGATTGAGGTGTATGAAGTTATATGGGTTACCAAAAATACACAAGCCCGATGCTCCACTACGTCCCATAGTAAGCCAAATCGATTCACCTACTTACAGGTTGGCCCAACACTTAGCGAAAATACTCTCACCGCTCAAGGGACATACAAGAGCACACACAAAGGATTCCTACCATTTTGTCAGCGAGATTAAAGACTTACATCTGGCAGACAATGAAACTATGGTCAGTATTGATGTGCAGTCTATGTTCACATGCTTACCTGTTGAAGACTGCATCTCGATTGTTACTAAAAGGCTGGAGGAAAAACAACATGCCCGTAGAATAAACAGTATTACTCAGACATTGCCTTACATCTGGCTACCTATTGTGGAAGGAAGAGTTCTACAAGCAAGTAGATGGCGTGGTGATGGGCTCACCTGTATCTTCTATTGTCGCCGATATATTCATAGAAGACTTTGAGGAGAAAGCCCTGCTTACTTCTCCCGTAAACCCAAGATTCTACAAGCGGTACGTAGACGACACTTTCACATTTCTACCTTTCGATAAAGTAACTGCATTTTTAGACCATCTTAACTCCATAAATTCTAATATTCAGTTCACAATGGAGTTTTAGGCAAACAATTTTTTAGCTTTTCTAGATGTGTTAGTAATTTGGAATCCTGATAGCACCTTGAGCCACACTGTGTATAGAAAAAAGGCCCATACATATAGATATTTAAATGGTGATTCTCATCACCATCCTTCACAGTTAGCTACCGTGGGTAAATCTTTGTTTCAGAGAGCACGAGGTATCTGTGACAGTAAACACCTGGCCGCCGAGCTCCAACACGTCAAGCAAGTTTTGCACGACAATAAACTTCGGGTCCCGCGCCTATGTCACATTGAACGAGTGAAGCCGGCCAAAGTCGAGCGAGTGCCTTGTGTACTGCCATATGTCAGAGGTGTCACTGACGAGATTGACTACATCTTGAAGCGTGCTTCCATTAAAACATACTTCAAGCCGCCGAAGAAGATTAGTCAGTTTTTACCATCAGTCAAGTGTAATGTCCCTCTGCAAGATGCAGGAATGTACAAGCTGGATTGTGAATGTGATCTCTCTTATATAGGACAAACTAAACGATCCATAAAAACCCGCGTTAAAGAACACATAGCTGATGTGAAGAATCGACGCTCCGGGAAGTCTGCAGTCTGTGAACAGAAACACGTACAGGATCGCCCCCGTCACTACATTAGATTTGATAGAACACAAATCCTCGCTAAAGAACACTGATTCCTTCCAAGGATGAGTCGCAAGGCTATTTCAAATCAAAAAACATCCTAATTTCAATAAAGAAGATGGCTGGGTGCTACCATCTGCTTGGGGTCCCATAATTAATAAATATAAATCCCAACTCAAGCATACAACTGTAAGACTTCAAGATACTGTAAGTTCATACTGCGTAGATCGCAACAAAAATCAATAATTTTTAATCTGGAGGTAGCCGTGGTTAATTATGACATTGGGACGTCATACACCTCAGTCCCTCCCCGTGACCAAGTGCTTGAAACGTCGGGAATATAAAATAAGTTAATATACGCGATAAAATCCGTAAAATTAGTTTTATTTAATTACCGCTATCTAATAATGGCTTTTAACTTGAAACTGGCACAATGGTTCAAGGGCCGTTTGCCACAAATGAGAGAAAATAAATCCTGGCTAGTTTTAAGTCCGGTAAAAACATAGTTAAAAATCAAGTTTTTAACAGTTTTGGTGGGAACTTAACTGCTAGCGGGTTATATATGTATTGTGTATGTAAGTCGATTTGATACAAAATATTGATGAGATTTGTGTATAAAATGTCTGCGCGTGTGAACTATTGGTAGAAACGATATAACAAGTACTCCAATGGTGATATAAACCCTAAACTTACTTTCCTAAAGAAGGTCATGAGCGTCAATACAAACTCATTATAATTTTTTTTCTAAGAATAATTTTGTAAATATGAAAGAAAGGCGTGAGTAAAACTTTTGTCTCTGACCTTCTCCAAACTTTAACTCTAGACCCACGCGTGGCGGCAGTAACCAGTCACGATCATGTGAACTAGCTCGTTAGTAACTCTCATTTAAGAATACGCGCAAGCACTTTGTTAAGTTGTGCGAGCTTAATATAGGAGCAAACAACAGCGGATGAAGTTTTTAATGTCTCATTTATTAAATTACCTAAATAATTAAAAAAGTCGTTATCCACTATCCCCAGATTTGCTCCTGTATCGTGAAGGCAATTTACATACATTTATAGACTTAGAATATACTGATGTAGTATATTCTGTCTATGCATAAATTGCACAAGGCCAAGAATGCCATTAATGTAACTATTTAAATGACATTGTTATTGTTGCTGAGCTTATAAAATGATTACGTCCACTCAAAAGGGTTAAAAAATTAAAAAGCAGAAATCACTTCTTTTAATTCTTCTTAACGCCTAGTGCTTACACGTTGTTAGGTGGAAATTATTTCGTTCTTTTTAATTTTTTTTAAATTTAATAATTTTATTTAAAGTTCAATTTTAGATATGGCGAGTTCTGTTAGTAATTACATGAACTGTTGAGACTCTATTTAAGTATTCTGGCACGACGGATTGTAAAAACATAATTTTATATTAAGGGTTATTATTATAGTATATATATGTATGTATGGGTATATATATACATATATATATATATCACTATATTAAAGGAATAAAGTTATAAATACGATTCGATGCATTTACCTCGTGCCGATTTGTATATTTTAAATTCTATGATCGTTTTATTTTTATATAATAAATTATTTACCAGGATCGTGCCAAATTGAAGTCCACAGTCTCGGCCTCCCTTCTAGGCTTAAAAACTTGTTAATTTTATCGAATGTTTTATACTAATTATTTAAAACTTACTTTGATTATTGACTGGTAAATAATAACATGAAATATATCAATTTGATCACCAAGCGTGATATCAGTTATTTTATTTCTAATGACTATTTCTTTTTTAGTGTTTGCTGCACTGCATCGTATATTTTAATACTGCTTAGCCTAATGGTTGACATGGATAAGAACAGTTATTTGACCTGCCGTTCAAGTGAGATTACACCGGCTGAATTCATAGGAAATTATATGGTGTCTAGAATTTTCAAAGCACATATAATTATGATGCATGGAACGTGTATTAAAAGTAGAGATTATAACTGTTGAATAAATTAAATCTTGCGATAATGCAAAATAATTTTTGAAACATATGTTTGCGTGTGTTTGCTTAGTTGTAATGTACATTTTTATTAATAATATTAATAATTAATTTTATTTTCTGTGTCTTAATTCATGATATAAGATTAGTTGAGTGTTATAAATTTAAATATCAATATCTAAATGGCATTAAAAAAAAGCGTAATTTAAGACGAAATCATCAGCGTCGATTGTCGAAGCATGGGTAATGCTGTTTTAATTTTATTGTAATGTATATGCTCAGATATATTTTTTTGTTATTTTAAATAGTTTATGTGCAGTTTCCGCGTTATAAAATTAAGGTGAAAAGAAAATAAACTCACCGTCTTTACTTACTTACTTATTTTAAAATAGGGCACTTTTCACTCAAAATAAATTAGAAATATCAATTTATTATTCACAAATCTTCGTAACGCTCTAAAAGAAATTCACAAATAATTACCTGAATAAAGTTCAGTTCCAACTCACAGAAACACTTCGTATAAGTAACAAAGCAATTGATTACAAATTACAATTGGCGCGTTTGGCACCGTCAATTACAATTTGCGGACTGATAGTGATACGCTGTTTCTGTTTGTGTACGCACGCAATACGCGACCGGCGGGTTGCGAGAATAGTGACGTCACTATGTACATGATAATATCGACACTTTATCGATTAACTGCTTGTTGAGCGTGACAATGCTTGCAGAGTTTTTTAATGTTCCACATCGACAGACTTTTTAAATTCGCTGTATGCACTCGGTGTTTCCAAGAAGTATGCCAACTGGCATGCTGGAAGTTTTACCTGTAATACCCACGTTGCGCAGGTGTGTTCGTAAGGGCTGGCAGAGTCAACTTATAGGTTTTTAAATGATGTTTCACCACGAGTCAATCACCAGAGCCTTGACAGTTAAGCATTAGGGCATCGCGTGTACGTGATATTAATATTTAGAGATTGACAGACATATACTTAATTATTCAATGTAAATTACATCATAGTACTTAATCAAAGTAATTTTTAAGATGTATTTACCACTCGTTTGAAAAATGTGTATTATATTTTAATTTTTTTATACTAACCCTATTAGAAATAGCTAGGTAGCATTTTAGCCGCAGAAAGAAAAGGGGAGATCTTCCGCTGGGCAAAGAGTTCAGCCCGGTGACCGGCCAAAGCTCCTGTGGTAGTATAGTGGTTGTTTCACATATTCAAAGATGCTTGAAAATGTTGATAGCGTGGTTTTCGGTTCATTTACGTTTGTAGCGTGACTACTGCGGCATAATCACCGTTACATCTATCTTTTTTGCCTTTATGACAGAGATTACATTACTTATAGTTACATTTTGAATGCGTAATCAGTAACAATGTAACTCTTTTTTTTTCGTTCGTTATATTTAGATGCTTTTTGTAATCGCAAAGTCAGACCGAGATCACCAGCTATATCACAGCCTATAATAGTCTACTGCTGAACATAGCCCCCCCCCCCATAAATTGCTTCGCGGGGGGATTTTGTTATAATTGCCACGCTAGGCAAGCGAGTTGAAAATGCTGCTCATGTTTCAGTTTCCCTTTGTTGCCTCTTACGACACCCACGGGACGATATGGGGAAGTGGGTATTCCTACGCCGCCACTACACGATGACTTAAGCCATTTGTCACAAGTATTTTATAGATTTTTACTACAAAGTGGGTTGAACATGCAAAAAAAGGTCCCCTTAAAGGGCAACTAATGAACATAATCCCTCCCAAAGCCTGACACAAAGCGTGATCTAAAGTTTACGGGATCCATCGACTCCATGCATGCATCATCAGATCAACACTCCATCTAGTGGAGAGTAGCTATGTTAGTTACTATAGTTCTACGTAGCAACTAACATAGCTGTATTTTTGCTTATACTGTGGAGGGGTTTTAAATATATAAATTGCACATATACAAACATTCGTAACTGGAACAATTATTTGTACGATATATAAACGCTTATTCCGTGCGGGATTTGAACCTGCGGTCACAGCGTTACTGAGCCCTCAACTAACTCTGCCTACGTAATATTTTAAAATGTACGCAGTTAGTATATTTTTTATTTATTTTGTAAATAAATAAGTATAAAAGTATTTAAGTTATGATGATAACCTATTTAAAATACGTCAGATTGTCTCTCAATTTAATGTTATAATTAAATCGTTTATTTGCAGATGATTATAGTATAATTGTTTAGGCAATGTTACTATTGTACCTATGTTATGTTATGATAAGAAGATACCTTGGAAAGTGTGTCAAGTGAGAATGTTAGATAAAGAGGAATATTTATCTATACATCTATACAAATAAACAATCTATGCATATAAATAAAATTGAAGTGTCTGTCTGTAAAAGTTAACCGTGTAGTGGCAGTGTAAGAATATTCACAACCTCATATCGTCCCGAGGCTGTCGTAAGAGGCGACAGAGAGAAAATGAAACATGAGATGGGCAGCAGCATCTTGCCAAAATGGCAAAATCTCCCAAGAGGCAATCTATGGGGGAGGCTTATGTTCAGCAGTGTATTCTTATAGGGTGTAATAAAATAATGGTTAGTCTGTCCGTAACATTGAAATAAATAGCTTCTATTAAGCTTAGGGGGTATTTTTCATGTGAATCGCGGAAAGAATTGTTTTACATAAATTTGTTTATTGTGGTTTATTTTTTGCGCGAACCCGTCTGAAAGGCACCCAGGGCATGTGCCCTACTTTCCCCACCCAAGCAACACCTCTGCATGAGACGGCAACTGAACAGTGTAAATGTTTATCCTGTTTAATTGGTGTTTTACATTTACCATTTACCATGTAGGGGCGGCATAAGAGAATCCACTTCCCCATATCATCCCGTACCTGTTATAAGAGGGGACAGACGGAAACTGAAACAGAAGTTGGGTAGCAGCATCTTCCTGAAAATAACTTTAAATAATAAAGTAACTGCGAAGGCTGGGGAAGGCTAATTGCCTGCCTAGCGAGAAACCTATCGAAAATGATGAGCTCTTACGCATGATATTAAAATAAATAGAACACAGTTTTTATAAGTTAAAACTACATAAAATGTGTTAAAGTATAATTTGTGTAATTTGTCCACGGATGCATCAAACAATCGTGTTGTTTCTAGAGAATGGGTCCAGATAGTTTGCAGTTCCATTCACTATTCTCTATCTTTTCAAGGTGAATGCACATACTTACAAATGTATATCTATTAATTGCATTCAGTTAGATTCTACCTCAGACATTGACTATCTTACTTAACACAAAAAATAACAGAAAAAGTATTTGTTGTATAAAACTATATTACAACGACTACAAGAAGCGGAGTTACGATTTGTATATCTGTTTTGATTATGATGATATTAGCGACATAACAATAATGTTAAGATTAAATGGTTTGAAATCTCTATAAATTAGTTACTATTACTGCTGCACGTTGCTAATATAGGTTTCTCCAATAGATTGCCTCATAAAGGAGGGAGGGGGGGGGGATTTTACCATAGGTATTCTTTCCAATTCCACCCCAAGTTACAATGCGTTATTGTAGTAAGCTCTGAGCTCCTCCAATTTCTAAGTTGCTAATATGCGCTGATCGAGATAGGTATTAGTTTTTGATAATTTTTTTAAAGGATAGGGTGATAAGCGAGCACACAGTCCACCTGATGGGTAGTGGCTGTTGTGACCCATAGACATCTACATCCATCCTCAATAAAGAATCAAAATGTCAACCGTGAGGACTAAAATGGAATGCCTCTTTTTCAGTAAAAAAAAGTCTCCGGTTCGCTACACTCACCATACGAAACAGCTGTGTTAAGCTGCTATTTTACGCTGGTATTCTGTGAGAGCGTAGTCCTTCCCCGGTCGAGCCGACCCATTCATGCTACAACTATACTACTAATATAGCTGCAGCATGTCCGAGGTGTCTTAAGTTAGTGGAACGAGTTAGTATTGGGCAGTTGCATTTGCTTTGTTATTCACATGTATGTGCTTTGATATAAAATTTCGCCACTGTTTGGGTTCTAACACGGTAAATGAAGGTAATATGTCTTGTTTTTGTTTACATTAAGTGTCAGTAAATTACTAGTAAGCCACCGCATGACCTTACCTAGTGCATGCTCTGTATAATATAATATCGCGCTTCTTTCTAGTCCTTACCTTACACAATTAAAGCTGTATTGTTGGCATATGAAATAATACAAATTAAATGTATATTGCCATATCCTCTGTAACGTCCATGTCACACCTATGTCGGTAGTTGTTGGGAGCACTAAGCTTGAAGTTGTTGACGGGTATGTTTACATGGAACAAATAGTTCGACTAGGTAAGTCCAACTTCGACCGAGAGGTCAATCGACGGATTCAACTCGGCTGGGCAGCTTTCGGGGGATTGGGACACATCTTCTCGTCAGGCATACCTCAAAGCTTCAAAACAAGACAAACAACCAGTGCGTGTTGTCAGTGATGATCTGAGATGTGGTCCTTCACTGCTGACCGTATGAGGAAGCTCAAAGTTGCTCAGCGAGCTATTTAATAACCAGAGTAATCGACAGAGCCCAACAGATTAGTAAGCTGAACTGGCAATGGGGCGGCCATATAGCCCGAAGAACCGACAAACGATGGGAAAGAAAGTTTCTAGGGTGGCAGCCTCTAAACGAAACGAAACGTCCTATCAAGCAAAATGGACTGGACCAACAATAAAGATATGATGTTTTGGGAGCTTTACCAAAGTCAGCCAGTCATTTGGAATCCAAATCATGCTCATCATAAGAATAAGCAGAAAGAATACAATGCTTGGACTACATTAAATCATTCATTTGCACTACCATTATATCAGAAGTAATGGGAGCACCAGTGTATGAATTAAAATTGAAGATTTCTTTGATGGCTACTTATCGTTGTAAGTCATTCATTTCGTCAAGTTGAAGTAGATATAAATAGACGCGAATGTGTAAACAATCAGTCGAGCACGTGTAAACGTGTAAATGCGTTATAAGAGGCAATAGAGGGAAACATAAACAGAAAATGGTCAGTAGCACCTTCACGTTAATACTCAAAATAATTAAAACCGTCTGATAAGCGTGACACTTACGGCAAAATCATCTGTTCTGTTCTGTTGTTCATTTATCAGTGAACTTTTATAAGCTGTAATGCAATTTAACATAAATTGATTTATCGATAAAATATCTAGCGCCATAGATACATGCCTAAGCTATCGAATGTTTTGCTAATATTTAGTTTCGTCATAACTACTGCTATCGCTGAGTTCTAGTTGCGTTGCTATGTCCTATTTCTGAGAAAATATATGAAATCACTCATAGAGATCAGTCTAGGGCGTGGAACAATAGCAATTAAAATAGAACACGCACACACTCTCTTGATTCTTTCTTTCGCAGAGTAATAAATACGATATGACCAGTAACAATAAAAACGGTCAGCATTTAAACTGTTATTATAATATTATTTACCATATGCCAAATCTAAACAAGTGACAATATTTTGTTGACATGTATGTATGGATATAAGGCGTAAGGATATAAGGCGTAAGGATATAAGGCACCCTTTGTGTG